AAAAGAGTCAAGAAAAGGCCAATAACATGTCAATAATAAGTCAGTACATATCAGTTATAACCAGCAATGTCAATGGCCTCAACTCACCAATCAAGAGAAATAGAGTGGCAAAATGGAATAAGAAGCAAAATCCAACAGTATGTTGTATACAAGAAACACACCTAGTGCAAAAAGAAGTCCAGAGACTGAAAGTGAAAAGACAGAAAACAATTCTCCATGTGACAGGAGCCCAGAAAAAAAACAGGGGTAGAAATCTTATTTGCAGACAAAGTAAATTTCAAACCAAAAGTGATTCTAGTATTATTGATGTAGGATGGTACTCTATCATACCTCTATGAATGTAAAATATCTTGTACCTGCTTTATGAAACATAGTAGGGACCATGCTTTATCAGAGCTATATTTAATGATATTACTCTAGAATGTTCTCTTTCCAGATGATGATTAAGATACTAATAATAATAATAAAAAAAATGGTGCCAGGTACCACAACAGCACAGAACTTTGCTGTTTTCTGGATGTTATTCTTTTCTTTGTTTCTTTTTGTTTTGTTTTGTTTTGTTTTTAATGGAATGTGCTGAATGTCTATAATTTTATTCAGATGACTGCAGAACCTTTAAAAGCTGTTGCTGCTATCGATGCATACTATGGGGTTCAGCCATCAGCTAACTGAGACCAGGGGTCTTGCATCCTCACTCTGTCTGAGCCATTAAATGGTAAATACACTATATTGAAATTTTGTTCGCTACAGACATGTTCTGGACTGCTTCTTGATTTCAATTTAATTCAAATGATTTAAGGGTGATAGACTAGTGACTACCACAGGTGGTCAGTGTCCAAGTTGTGCTTGATCTTAATGTGTTGCTGATTGTATTAGTTGGGATAAAGCATTGCAGATGATTTGATGAGCTGTTTCTCTGATGTTATGAAGATGAGAATGTCTGTGGGTCGTTAGAGACACAGAAGCTAGGGTGCAAATATATCAGGAAGATTTGGGTGATAACCCAGAGAGATTAAACCAAGGACAGTCTGACAACAAAAACAAAAATGAGAAAATACTTAAGCAAGACACAAGGACAGACTTCCAGTTCACCAATGGCAAACAGTAGGGCAAATGAGGATGAAAAGGCTCTTAGTGAAACATCAGGACACCCTGAACTCAAAGCACAGGAAGTAACAAAACAGATCAATCAGGCTCTAGAAAAATTTGAAACAGAACTAATTTCCTAGATAACCATAGAGATAGTGAGCAAAATGGAAGTAGTGATTTAAGACTCTAGAGCAGAAACTGACAAAAAAATAGATGAGCTCAGGACCACGATAGAAGCCATGAAGGCCCAGCATAAGAAAGAAATGGAAAATTTAAATGCCCAACATAGGAAAGAAATATGTTCAGGGACCATTTTCATCTCCAGAATTAAGGATTATTTTGATGTTACATCATTGTGAGCAAAATGGAAGTAGTGATTTAAGACTCTAGAGCAGAAACTGACAAAAAAATAGATGAGCTCAGGACCACGATAGAAGCCATGAAGGCCCAGCATAAGAAAGAAATGGAAAATTTAAATGCCCAACATAGGAAAGAAATATGTTCAGGGACCATTTTCATCTCCAGAATTAAGGATTATTTTGATGTTACATCATTGCCCATTGCCTCT